TCCACTTGTGCATCCAGCCCCGTGGATGAGGAAATTCCAGGCCGCGCGCCCCAGCCGCGGCGCTCACTCGGGCCGTGTCCTTGCAGCTCGCCCCCCATGGCCGGGAACGTGCAGACCCCCGCCCCCGTGGGCGCGGCGCGGGAGCAGGACCGCAAGGCCCGGAGCGGCTGGCCGGGCGGGGCCCGGGTCTGGGAGGACGCCGAGCAGCAGGCCAAGAAGCTCAAGAGCAGCCCGGACGGGGAGCCGCACAGGAAGCTGCCCAAGCGGAAGATCGTGCTGCTCATGGCCTACTCCGGGAAGGGCTACCACGGCATGCAGGTGAGGGCCCGCCGGGCCGGGGCGCCCGCGCCCCGCCGGCTCCCTTCTCCGGCCGGCTGCAGGCGGGGGCCTCCGGGCGGCAGCTGTCCAGGTGCGCCGGCTCCGGACACGGGGCCTCGCTCTTCACCCGGTGTTCAGCGTCGCGGTGCGTCCGCCGGGGCAGGGTTTGCGCTGGAGCCCAAGCTGCCCCGAGCCCTGCTCTGGCCCCGGGAGGTGCGGCGCCGGAGCCCCCCCCGCCGCTGACCAGCCTGGGGCCGCAGCAGCCGGGGACAGGCTCCCTGTGCTCTCTCTCCCGGAGGCCGAGGGGCGGGGAGGGGCCCGCCGCCGGCGTCTGCCCTGCGCTGGAGCTCAGGCTGGGGGGTAGAACTGGGAATTCCGGAGAGCCGGGCGCAGATACTCTCGGGCCCCTAGCGGGCTCCGAGTCGGGGGTGCTGTGTTCTGTGAGCCTGCTGAAGCTCGTCTCAGAGGAAGGAGTTGAGTGCCGAGCCCGGAGCGCCTGGCCAGGGCGCTCACCGAGGGGTGCAACAGTTCTCATCGGGAGCAGCGGGAGAACTGGGGTTCTTCGGGGCTCGTTTTAAGGAAGAGAGTAGGTCACACGGGGGAAACTGATGTCGCGGTGTGGGGTGGACTGTGCCAAGGGCGCGGCTGACTCCTCCGGAAGGGACGGACCAGCCCTGTTGCTCTGTGTGGGCGACGGAAAGCTTTTGTGACTGATTTTGAGGAGGTGCATTTTTGCTTTAGGCGCCGCCTTGAGAACTTTGCTGTGTCTCGACAGCTTCTGTGTGCCTCAGTTTCCCCGTGAGGGAAGTGGGGGGTTGGAGAGTGACGGGCTCACCGTGCTGATGGGAGGACGCATTGGGAGCCTGGCACTCGGCCGCTTTCCCCGCTGCCGCAGCCCTGCCCCTGCGTGGGGGTGTTTGAGCAGCATTTATTTATGACCTGATGCTTGCAGTGGGGACCATAGGGTAGACCTTGGGAAGAACTTCCCCTGTGGTGATCTTGGCAGATGCTCATCCGCCCTCATGTCCCTGGTGTGGGGGTTTTCTCTGAGAAGTGCCAGAGGGGGTCTGTGACCTCATTGATGTGCGGGGTCCTGCAGGCCCTGGGTTGTGCTTAGGGCACCCCGAGAGGATAGTGTTAGGAGGTTCTAGAAGCAGTGGGTGTCGTACAGGCTGGTCCCATGGGCTGAAGGGATACCGAATCCAGCCCTGGCATCCTGGGGTGGGTTTCCTGCTTTGAGTCAAGGGGTCTGCCTCCCCGTGTGATAAGGGGGGTGTCCCTCTGCAGCCCGCTGCTGCCGACAGATGGGTCTCTGGCCAGAGGGGCGCTGGTTTCAGACCTGACCAGGTGGGAGGAAACTGTCGGGTGATGCTCTCTGTGGGCTGTTTGACCTGGCTGCCCAGGGTGGGGTGTTTCTAGAGCCTGGGTACTCTCAGGTCCCACTTGCCATGGGACGGGGAAGAGCCGCGGTGTATTCCCAGGGCTGCAGATGTGGGCCCAGGACCCAGGCACCCTGCGGGGAGCAGCTCAGGCCCAGGGTTCCCATCTGTGGGCAGCGACTAAGTGAAGAAAACTGGTTTTCTATCCGTTCCTTCAGAGGAATGTTGGGTCCTCACAATTCAAGACCATCGAAGATGACTTGGTGTCTGCCCTGGTCCAGTCGGGTTGTATTCCTGAAAATCACGGTGAAGATATGAAGAAGATGTCCTTCCAGCGGTGCGCCCGGACAGATAAGGTAGACGCCATCTCTGGCCCCCTCCCCCCACCCGCCCTGCAGGTTCGAGCGGCACCTGAAGCTCCTGGTCTGTACGTCCTTCACACCATACATCAGCGTCTTTATTCGTCAAGACTCTTGGCTGTGAATGGCAGATGCACAGACCAAACTAGCCAAAATGGGAAGAAAGCCGTCGCCTCGTGTCACCAGGAAGTTCTCAAGCATTTCCAGTCCAGGTGTGGCTGGACCTGGGTGCTCGCTGCGGGCCAGACTCCGTGTCCGTGCGTTCTCCTGCGTGGCCCCTGTAGGTGGCCGCACGGTGGTCACGATATCCACGCAGCTCAGGCTTGCCAGTACACAGAGGATCGAATGTCCCGTTTTCCAAGAGGGGAAAGGAAAGAGGTGACCCTGGTGTGAGTCATCTGTTTCATCTCAGTTTGAGAACAGTCTTTTGTCACAGTGTAATAGGGGGAACGCAGTTCGCGTTGTGTGTGCGCGCGCACGTGTGTGCATGTCCCGGCTTGGCAGTCCGCTACGTACTCCATGCTCATGGTACGTCACCACCACACTGGCCGCGGCTCGTGGACCAGGGAGCCCCAGTGGCTGTGGCCCCGTGCTGTCCACTCGGTCCCAGCATCGGGTCTCAGCACACTTACTCACTGCCTCACACGTGTGTCCTGGGCTCAGTCTTGCCCTGTCATGTTCCTGGGTGTCGGTCTGGCATGGGCAGCAGCTCCCCAAGGAGAGTGGAGGGGAGCTGGGCAGGCGGGTAGGGCAGAGGCACAGGCCTCAAGCTCTTCTCCGGTAGGTATGAAACGCAGAGTGCACCGCATGCCTTTTGCCCCCGCTCTGCAGCCCTGACCCTGGGATGCTTCTGTGGCCGCCTGAGGTCCCTGGGGATGTGACACAGACACGGGCTGGTCAGCGTCCTGAGCAGCCAAACAACGCCCAGGTCCACAGGTACCAGATCCCCTGGGTTCACGCGCCAGGTGGGGACCACAGAACTGGTGCGTCGTACAGATAGCGGAGAACAGACGCGGGACTGTGGGTTCGCGTCTCGTAGGTGACGCGGTAACGTTTCCCACGGCTCAGGCGCGGGTCCTGTGGTTCCTACGGTTTCCCTTTTCTTTTTAATTGGCCTAGTGACAGTTTTCTGCTAGTTTTCAAGGCAGAAGGCAAGCAGATAACTAACGGAGAGAGCGTTTCAGAGCGAGGTGCTTAACCCAGTGTTGTTGGAGATTGTTCTGTTCAGATGTGTTTCCCTCTTACGGTTTGGGGAACCTGAAGAAACCCGAAACTTCCGACACTAACATCCCAGCTCATCTCTCCACTTGTGCATCCAGCCCCGTGGATGAGGAAATGATAGCATTTTCTTAGTTTTTATTAGATTCTTTAAAAAGCATTTTTATTTTTTATTTTTATTTTTTTTGAAGATTTTATTTATTTATTTATTTGAGACAGAATGAGAGAGAGAGAGAGCACATGAGAGGGGGGAGGGTCTGAGGGAGAAGCAGACTCCCCGCCGAGCAGGGAGCCTGATGCGGGACTCGATCCAGGGACTCCAGGATCATGACCTGAGCCGAAGGCAGTCGCTTAACCGACTGAGCCACCCAGGCGCCCCATAAAAGCAGCTTTATTGAGATACAGTTTACTCCTTACAGTTTGCCTGCCCAGTGTGTGTGAGTCAGGGGATTCTAGTATGTTCGCAGAGTTGTGCGGCCGTCCCTGCAGCTGGTCTGGGGACACTTTCATCTCCCCAGAAAGGACCCCAGGGCCCTTAGCCATCTCTCCCGCCCCAGCAGCACATCCAGAATGTTTTCATTTACACACACGATTAATACAAAAACAGCGGTGTTATTCATCTCCGTTTTTTTTTTTTTTTAATTTTGCTTTTTAAAGTAATCTCCACACCCAGCATGGGGCTTGAACCCACAACCCTGAAATCAAGAGTTGCACGCTTCACCAACTGAGCCAGCCAGGCATCCCCATCTCCCCAGTTTTTTACTGGGAAAAATGTCAGTCCTGCAGATGTGTGGGGAGTATCGCGGTGGACGCCGGACCAGCCCTCCCCTCGATTCAGCAGTGATACCGTTTTTGCCACATTTGTTTCCTCTTTACGCCCTTTCTTCCCCTTAAACCGTTTGAGAGTCCGTTGCGGACCTCATTCACCCCGGAAGCCGCAGGCCTGAACGTGCAGGGATGGCAGCGCCCCTGGGAGTTCCCCTCGGGCGGTCCAGCGCTGCCGGGGTGCGGCTACCACAAGCCTCGGTCTGTTACTGACCCAGCGCCTGAGCCGCGGTCGGCCTGCGTGCCTGCTCCCGTCCTTGGAGCTCCCTTTGATCTAAGATGGTCTCCTTGTCGCTTTTTTTTTGGTTCTTACATGATGTTTTGGACAGGTGAGGCCAGTAGTTTTTTTTTTTTATTTTTTATTTTTAGATTTTTTTTTATGTGAGAGAGAGAGACACAGCGAGAGAGGGAACACAAGGGGGAGTGGGAGAGGGAGAAGCAGGCCTCCCGCGGAGCAGGGAGCCCGATGCGGACTCGATCCCAGGACCCTGGGATCCTGACCTGAGCCGAAGGCAGACGCTCAACGACTGAGCCACCCAGGCGCCCGAGGCCAGTAGTTTTGACAAATGTTCTCAGTCAGGATTTGTCCGATTGTTGTCATGACTGGATTTGGATAAAGTTTTGGGCAGGGATGTTCCGTGTGCTACAGTTCATTTCTTGGCACGGGTTTGTGGAGCATCTTCCGATGATGCGTGTGCGGTGATGTGGGTGGTGCTGAGCTGCACACCTGCGCGTCTGCGCCCAGGACGGCACCCTGCCCCCCAGGAGCCATCCTGTCCACTTCCTTGTCCCCACACGGTCCTGCCATGCTGACCGTCCACACAGCTGGCTTTTAGACAAAGGCCTGGCGTCAGGGTGGGGAAGCGTGCTCACCCCACTGGGAATTGCCTGTGTAACCAGCTCCCCTTCGCTGTCCACGCCGTCCCCCCGTCCCTGTTCCACAGGCTAACTGCTGTCCTGACTTAGATGGCACAGTGGTCCCCCCTGGTTTGTGGGGGACGCGTTCCAGGACCCCTGGTGGATGCCTGGCCTGTCGCTGGTGCCGAAGCGCTGTGATACGGTGAGCTCGTAAACGCGGCCCGGGGAGAGAGGGGCAGTGGTCGCTCGGGGCAAACCAGGATGATTACAGCCGGGCGCTGGCCTGGAAGTTGGGCGAGCGTGGGCTCTCAGAAGGCCCCTGGGCCGCACCCGTTGTCCGCACGACAAGGGGAGACGAGATGGGGGGTGTGGATGGCGTGGGCTTGTGCTGGAGCGCGAGGTGGAGCATCAGGGGCGCGGGTGAGCGGGCAGCTGGAGCGGGGGCGGCGACACCGTGGGCGAGGTGGGGCGACTGCTCTTCCTTGCCCGGCCTCCCATTCTCCTAAGGAAATCGCTTGCTCTTTTCCCCACGTCGTGCGGAGTCCGGGCCGAGGGGGCCTTCGTTTTCTACCTGCGTGACGTGTGTTTCGCAGGGCCCCGAGGCCATCGGTGATCCTTCCCCGGTTGTGCTCGCCTGGCTCTTTGGCGGACTGAGCGCCATCCTCGGGTCTCACCAGCCCCTCAAATGCGTTTCTAAAGCCAGAACTTGTACAGGAAACGGTGCAGCGTTGGCTGGTCCTTGGTCCAGGAGACTATCTTTCGGAGGGTGTGCCTGACCCTTCTGCTTCCTTTGCAGGGTGTGTCCGCGGCCGGCCAGGTCGTGTCCCTGAAGGTGTGGCTGATTGACGACATTTTAGAGAAGATCAACAGCCACCTTCCGCCTCACATTCGGATACTGGGTAAGCGCAGCAGGGCAGGGCCGCGTGCCGCGTGGTGGCTGGTCTCGCAGGGATGTGAAGCCTCACCAGATTTGTCTGGTGTGGAATCAGGACGCCGGGGCAGTTGCTGAGCGGTTTGTGAGTTTGTGAGTCAGCTCAGAGGTCGCTGTCCCTTCCTCCGGAAGGGATGAGCTGGACACACGCTTGGGAGCTCCCTTCATGGCAGCGCCTTGTTTGAACCAAACACTGGACGCAAAAGTCCCGATTCGGTAAAGCTGAAACGGGTGAGGATTCCCTTTTATAACAAGCCTGACAAACAGGATTTTTAAGTCTTTGTTAAAACGATTTCATCTGACTCTCTCCTTTTGAGTGGCGTGCACGGGCCGGTTGTTTCCTGTGTTCTCGGGTTGGTTGGTTGGCGTAGACGTCGCCGTCTGTTGCTTTTTGTCTCTTCTGTGCTCTTCTTTTCTTCTGTTTATTCTTTTGGATTAATGAACATTTTTCATAATTCCATTTAATTATCACCTCGGTTGCCTTGTAGGTGTAATGGGCTGTGGTTTTTTTAGTGGTTGCTTGGGGGGGTTAAAGCAGGAATTGGCAGACCCTCTGTAGCAGGCCAGGCTGTGTGGCCAGATGACCTTGATCTCGGCCCCACGCGCCCCTTGACTTTAACTGTGCCCTGCCGCCCCGTCTTTGCAGACGGGCTCTTTGGTGGCCTTGGTGACCGTCTCTGTTAGAGCGTCTTTCTTACCTCGCGTTTTGTAGCATTCGAAGACGACGGCAGCGTCCCGCCTACATCCCCCCGGCCTTGCAGCTGATGGGGGCCTATCGTACGACCACGTGTGGTACCAACCACGCTGCGTTGTGTTTCCTTTAAGCAGCCAATTGAAAAAATCTTTTGAGATGTAACTGATGTATAATGAAGCCCGTATTTAAGCGCACAGCTTTGACGTGCGCACGTATGTGCACCCACGCCTGGGGAACCATCCCGGGTAGGACCGTGAGCCCCTCCGCCCCACCCCCTCCTCACGGGCCACCACTGATCTGCGTCTGTCGCCGTAGGTTAGTTCACGCTCTTAGCGCTTTACTGAACAGAATCAGGTCACACGTCTGGCTGCTTTCACGGAGCTGGTGTTGTGTGGACCCCGTCATGTGGGCGTGCTGCTCGCGGTTTCTCCATGTGCCCCCGAGGGCACTGGGCTTCTGCATCGCCACGGACAAAGCTGCCGCGGGCATCTGGCGCAAGTAAACGGAGATTGTTACCGTGAAGTCGGTAACGCTTCCTAATTACTTTGTCTGCTACTGGACGTCAGTGTTCGCACGTGACGTGGCTTTTGTTTGCTCTGCTGGGGTCTTTCTCTGCCTGCAGGAGGGTCCCCTCCCGGGACACTCCTCTTTGAGTAAACTCCCCTGAAGGCCCCTTGATGCGTTTGCACCAGAAGGTCTTCCATGTAGTCCACAGATCGGGTCCCAGTTTTGCTAAAACAACACCGAATCCCATACAGTTACCGCGGCGTCGGCGCTCGTCATGCAACCTGGCACGCGGGGTGGTTTCCCTCGTTGCGGCCCCAGAGCGCGGCCATCAGGCAGCCCGGGTGCTGATCCCGGCAGACGGCCACCTGCACAAAATTCACAAAAGTGAATTTTCAATGCCAGGCGACAAGGAAAACCTGAAATTACCCCCAGATGAAACACGACAGTAGAGTGAGAGCAAGGAGGGCAGGAGCCCTGGGGCTGGGCCGGCTGGAGGTGCCGGTGGGGCCCTGGTGCAGCTCTGGCAGCAGCCCCGGGTCCGGGTCCTCACCCGTAGCTGTGTGTCGTCGGGGAGATTCTCTATGCACACGTACACTTCTGTGCTTCTCACGCACGAGTGGAGCCCTGCGTGCTTCGTTCTGTCTTTATTCTTTCACTTCCTGGTTAGCGTGTTTGCTGAGCACCTGCTGGGTCTGTCCGCTCTCAGGGTGCAGGGCCTCTGGCATTCGGGGGCTGCCTGCTGCTTCGTCCTGCCGACGATCTGGAATGTGTGTGATTGTGTTTCTCTCGCTGGACTTCTAAGTTGTCTGTAGTAGTTGTTGTTCTTAGCCCTGCTGCTGCCTGGTGGCCTCACGTAGGACAACCCATAGGGCATGGTTTTGGGTCCGCACTGGATTCCGTGGAGAGCTGTGCAGGGCCTGAGCATACGCTTCCCTGCCCCTCCGTGAACCCCAGGTTTTAATAAACTGCCGGTGCTTCTGATGAGTTGGTTTGCGTAACTCTGCCGTTGAGCGTCAGGCGCGTGCGGCTTCGGTGCATGGAGGCCGGGCCCACGTCTGGTCCAGGTGCTCGTTGGCAGGGAAGCGTTGTCCTCACTTGCCTCCTCTCCCCCCAAGGACTGAAGAGGGTCACGGGCGGCTTCAACTCCAAGAACAAGTGTGACGCCAGGACGTACTTCTACATGCTGCCCACGTTTGCCTTCGCCCACAAGGACCACGACGTGCAGGACGAGAGCTACCGGCTGAGCATGGAGACGCTGCGGCGCGTCAACGGGCTCCTCGCCTGCTACAAGGGCACGCACAGCTTCCACAACTTCACCTCGCAGAAGGGGCCCCGCGAGGCCAGTGCTCGGCGCTACATCCTGGACATGTTCTGCGAGGAGCCTTTCGTGCGGGAGGGCATGGAGTTCGCGGTGATCAAGGTGAAGGGGCAGAGCTTCATGACGCACCAGATCCGGAAGATGGTCGGCCTGGTGGTGGCCATCGTCAAGGGCTACGCCCCCGAGAGCGTGCTGGAGCGCAGCTGGGGGGAGGCGAAGGTGGACGTGCCCAAGGCGCCGGGGCTTGGCCTGGTCCTGGAGCGCGTGCACTTCGAGAAGTACAACCAGCGCTTCGGCAATGACGGGCTGCACGAGCCGCTGGACTGGACGCGGGAGGAGGCGGGGGTCACGGCGTTCAAGGAGCAGCACATCTACCCCACCATCATCAGCACCGAGCGCCACGAGCGGTCCATGGCCCAGTGGCTGAGCACCCTGCCCGTGCATGACTTCAACGCCAGTGCCCACGCGGCCGCCGGCCCAGGCACCAAGGTGGGCGCTGGGGCCGTGGGGCTGGAGGCCGGGGCTCCCTTTCAGGCTCTCAGCCAAGCTTCTCACCCGCTCTACACTGGTGTCCTTGTGTCCATTGTGCAGACGAGCAAGCTGAGGCGCAGAGAGGTGCGTCAGGCTCTCGGGGTCACACAGCACGGATGAGCAGGGCCAGGGCGTTGGAACGGGTGGCTGGCGACCCCACAGTGCTGCTTTGTGTTTGCTCCCCACTCTGTGCCTAGTGACCTAGGACAACAGAGGCTGCGCTCGGGGGCCTGCCTTCCCGTCCGTGGGACGGAGGTGTGAGGACGAACACTGTGAGGTCCTCAGCGTGTGTCTGTTGTCACACCTGCTCTGGAACATGGGGTCCCTTGAGAGGCACGTGGTGTGCTTGGCGCCCACTCCAGGTGGTTGCTGTCTGATGTGCCCTCCTGCTAGGGCCACGGCTCCAGGCGGCTCGTCCTTGCCAGGAGCGTGTTAGGAGGAGGGCACGTGTGTGAGGCCCTGGAGCTAACCGTAGTCTGCAGCTGGAGTCTTTCCCTGGGGTGGGAGACGTCCCTGAGCCTGGGTTCTCTGCTGGCCCAGCAGCTCTCCACGGGCGCAATCCCACCTGGAGCGCTGGGAGAGCGCTTCCCGTCGCCTTTGCGCCCAGAAAAGCATGCTCCTTCCCGCACACCTGGGGTTGTAAACCCACCCACGCAGGTAGGGTAAGCCGGCCAGGTGGGCCAGGTGTGGAAGAGCAGGTGTGCAGGTGCGACGACGAGGGGCCGCGGCGTCAGGGAGGTGATGGGGATCGGACCCCGGCAGGCGCGAGCACTCCTGCCCCGTCTCACGGCCACGTCGGGGGGAGGGCCACGCCGGGAGAGCTGAAGCTTTCCCAGGAGACACAGGCATTCCGGGATTTTATGTGGAATCTTCTAGTCTGTGAGTGTTGATGGTGCCGAGTTCTCCCAGGCACTGTGAGGCCGGGTGGAGTGTGTGTGCAGATTCGAGCTGGGGGCCAGACGTGCCCTCTGCTGGACTCCCGCTGGGACGGGCTCCCGCCTCCTGCTGTCTTCACGCCTGAGGGAGGGCCTGCACTCATCCCGCTGGGAGTAGCCCCGTTTTGTGTCCCCTGAGGGGATCTGACGGAGCCCCTTGACGACCCCCTTGTCCCCAGCCTTGGCTTTCCCTGAGCAGGTCAGGTTCTGGAGCTGTTGGTGTGGGGGCCAGGAGTCGGGCTGAGACCAAGTGCTTGCCCGTGTGCCTGATGACCGGCCGGGCCGGGGGCGGCCCCGATGCCGAGCCCCTCGCGGACAGCCCCCCCAGGGGGAAGCACCCACACTTTGCTCTTGTTCTGCAGGTGCCTGGCCCCCCAGGAGACGGTGACTGAGGTGGTGGCCACCCGCTGGAGCGCCTTCAGGCTGGCTCAACGTGTGCCGGGAGTTGTCGCCGCTGCCGCAGGCCGACCTCCCGACATGGGGGAGCCGCACTCTGCCGCCATGCAACCTCAGGGTCGTGGGACCCGCGTCACGTTGGGTTTCCTCACAGGGAGGACCTGCTGCGAATCCGTTCTCAGCTCACGCATTAACCGTATACACCTCAGCATGTAAAGACACTATTTTTTTAAAGGTTTCTTACTAAATGAGTACAAACTTCGCTAAAGTCACACCGTTTTTTACCTTCACTTGGTCTTTGCTATGCTTGTAGCCTCCAGAGAGGGGAGAGAGGGAGGGAGTGCTGCGTGCTGTTAGGGACAGAGGGGCGTTGGTGGGCGGAGGCCAGAGCAGGTGGGCACAAGAGGCTCCTACGGGACTGTCCGTCAGGCCCTCAGGACCGGGCTTGGTGGCTGGGCTGCGTAGCCCTTGCTCCTGGTCACATCCACCCCAGCCCTGCCCACGTCCCAGGTGGGAGGAGGGGGACAGACGAGAGGACAGACGTGGCCCTCGGCGAGCTCTCCCAACAGAAGACCCACCAGTGGCTTCTTCCCCTCATTGTCCCGGGCATGTCATGGGGTCCAGTCTAGCTGCAAGGGATGCTGGGAGATGCCTTTTACCAAACGCTGTACTACAGCCCAGAAGTGACCTGTCAGCGAGGAAGGGGGATTGGGTGACGGGCAGGCCCTGGGCATGTCTGCAGAAGGCACGGGCGGTGTCCCGTGGGGAAGTGGTGTGTTCTGTGTGTGCGTGCTGGTGTTCATGCGTGGGCATGTGAGCACACACCTGATGATGCGTGCACGCACGAGACGTACGGCGTCCATACCCGTGGGTACGTGTGTGTGCTTGTGAGTACACGGTGCCTGTATGCACAACTGTGTGCACGCATGTGGCGTGTGGGGGCATGCGTGGGCACACCCATGTGTGCCCGGAACCGGGCAGATCTCTTCCAGGGCTTCTTCCGGGTGGACAGACAGGATGGCGTGAGTATCATCAGGAAGACCACTGAGGATGCTGGTGGTGGCCGGGGTGAAGGGGGGGGTGTGTGTGCAGAGGGTGAGTGAGGTGTGTGGGGCCAGAAAAGCAGCTGGGCTTCCTGCTGCCAAGGGGACGGAGGTGAGCACAGGAGGGAGGACAGAAGGCTGCCTTGGTCTTCAGGTTTAAGGGACTGAGGACCTGGGGCCGTTAGCAGATGGGGCCGCTGGGGAAAGGCAGTCTGGAGGAGGTGCGGAGTTTGGCATTAGGTGTGGTAATGGACTCCGGGATAACCAGGGCTCTTTGCTAAGTCATTTCCAAGGGCAGAAAATCAGCCCAAATAACTGCTGGGACCACCGCTTCTCCCATGAAAGGCTGCAAGAGCTTGGTTTGAGCATCAGTCAAACCTCTAGAATAGATAACTCCCAGCTGTGACTCCAGGTAGTGAATGGATGACCTGTGTAGCCACCTTGGAGGATCCCTGGGAGGGCAGCATTTTAAAGTAACGAATATGCTTGCAGCAACAGTACAGAAGAGAGAAGCCCTTCCCTCACTGGTTCCTAGGGCCTCTCGCAGAGAGCTCTGTGCATAGATGAGCCCATCTGATTCGTCTCTTCACCCAGATGGTGGCTTACAACGCACTTGACTCTTGCTTGTCCCAACGTAGCATGGCTTTGCGGCCGTGAAAGTGCATTGTTCTTGCTGGTGGCTCACTATCCATGCTGCCCCGCGTGCTGCCGGGCCTTTGTCCGGACCATCCCTATACGTCCTTGTTCATGTGTGTGAGTAGCTGTGGATGCAGAATCAGTGGTCTGATGGGTTTCTAGTGGCCACTTGGCTTTGATGGCTCCTTCCCTCCATAGAGCCCTGCCGACATCACATGACGGTACCTGCCCCTCACTCTCTCCAGAACCTCAGGGGAGCAAGCCTGACCTTCGGGCCAGCCTTTTCCTGGGTTGCATGATCCTTCCCTGGGCATGGAAGGCGCAGAAAGTTAGGGCCGGGATCTGCATAGTCAGGGGGTCACATGCCAGAACGCAGTGTTACCCCAAGGACACAGGAGAGCAAGAACCCGCACCTTCTTTCCCTGCCCAGCTGCCTGCCGGGTCCCCATATTGGCCAGCATGTAAGATGGGCACGCAAGTCAGCACCTGGGAAGCGATGGGAAATCTCGTGAGCTGCTCTCATCTGTGTGTTTGGGACCACGCAGGTGTCTGAGAGGGAAGACATCACTGGTTCTGTGTGTGGTTGGGCAGATGTTTTCTTCAGCAAATTTGGGGTTTACAGATTGCTGGGGGTGGGGGGGCTCAAGGACCTGGTTTTGGACTGGACCAGATCCCCTGGAATGTTTCCCAGAACAATACAGAACTGGCCCATTGAGGCACCTGCTCCTCATGCTGCCTCTGGAGCTGGGGGGACCAGAGGACCCCCCCCACCATGGCCACACACCTGGAGCAGCTGAGAAGCTGCTCAGAGCTGTGGCCCAGGGGGAGGGGCTCATGTCAGGCAGCCACCAGAGTGTCCATGGCTCCATGTTGACGGCCACCCAGCACTGGGCCTCCCTTGCAGGAGAGACGTTTGTCAGCCCTGCTTTCGGGCAGCAAGTGCAGCAGGAAGGAGGTGGCCTCCTCCCTCCCACTGCCAGTCTTGCACAAGTGCAGCGAACAGAAGGGCCTCACTCAGCTGGGACTCTGGCAGATCGAGTTTTTAACTTCTGGCTTCACCAAGTAGGAGGGTGGCACGAGGGTTCAGAGCCAGTCCCCACCCAGGCGATTCAATTGGACAGAGAATGTTCTTTTGACCATGGCTCTGGAACAACTGCTCAGTGCAACTGCCCACTCCTGTCTCCTTTTTACTTTTTATTTTATTTATTTAAGATTTTATTTATTTTTTGACAGAGGACACAGTGAGAGAGGGAACACAAGCAGGGGGAGTGGGAGAGGGAGAAGCAGGCTTCCTGCTGAGCAGGGAGCCTGATGCGGGGCTCGGGGATCATGACCTGAGCCGAAGGCAGACGCTTAACGGCTGAGCCACCCAGGCGCCCCTCCTGTCTCCTTTTTATAGCCAGGGTTTGTTTTTCTAAAATTTTCAGTTTAACATCAGAGGGCATTTGCACCTGCACTTTGCTGAGGTGCTTTATTGCATTAGTCTTCTAATTTTTCTTTTTTAATTTTTAAGATTTTTTAATTTTATTTTTAAAGATTTTATTTATTTATTTGAGAGAGAGAATGAGAGACAGCACGAGAGGGAAGAGGGTCAGAGGGAGAAGCAGACCCCCTGCCGAGCAGGGAGCCCGATGCGGGACTCGATCCAGGGACTCCAGGATCATGACCTGAGCCGAAGGCAGTCGCTTAACCAACTGAGCCATCCAGGCGCCCCTAATTTTATTTTTAAAGTAATCTTCACACCCAATGTGGGCCTCGAACCCACAACCCCAAGATCAAGAATCCCACACTCCACCGGACTGACCCGGCCAGGTGTCCCTACGCTTCATTTTTTTTTAGATGAATTTTGTATTGAGACATAATTCACATACCATAAACACATCCTTTCAAAGTGCACAGTTCAATGGTTTTTGGTACATTCACGAAGTTGTGCAACCATCGGCGCTACCTAATTCCGCAGCATCTTCACCAGCCCCCAAGGGCAATCCCACATGCAGCCAGTCAATCCCCACCCTCCCCCCAGTCCCCGGGCCGTGGCTAACCTACTGTCCCCTCTAGGGCTCTGCCTATTCTGCACATTTTACATCAGTGGGACCCCACAGCGCGCGGCCTGCTGCGTCTGCTCGCGCCCGCCGAGCGCCGAGTCTTCAAGGTCCATCTGTGCTGTAGCAGGTGTCCACACCCAGCGCCCTGGATCCGCCCATCAGCCGGCGGGTGGACAGCGGGGCCCCTTCCCCGCGAGCCGCGGGTTCGGACTGTGCCGGACCGTGTGCGGCAGGCGGTGGCCGCGTCGTGGGTTCGCGCCCCCGCGGGCTGCACGGACGGCCGGGACAGGAGATCTCCGTGCGGACCCTAAGTCCCTCATCTATTCTCCTGCCGGCCCGTGGCCCGGGGTCTGATCTGCAAACGCCTCCTCCCATCCGGGGCCCGTCTTTTCTCGGCGGCGTTCACCGCGCCAGCCCTCTCCAGTCTGATGCTGTCCGCGGGCCCCGGGA